GTTTCCAGGAGGTACAGACCAGCCCAGGGACCACTCACGAATAAACAGCAGTTACTCTGTAATTCATTACACCCTCTTTCCCATCCTTCAACATGTGCTTCTAACACTAGCTTCCTTCACAGTGTCCGAACACATTAATAAAGTAACTCCTCTCACTGTCTTTGGTTCTTAACATTAAAAAAAATCTGTCTTTTCTAACAGAGCTCAGTAGATTTGTTTCTTGAAGGAGGAGGATACAATGACGGTGTTGTAAGTCATGCTCTTGTTTCTTGTTAGTACACTTTGGAGCACCTGGGAGTGAGGCCATTTAATGCCATTGTGAAGCCAACTCTGTACATTGATATTTATGTTTGTGTATCTCTTTGGTACGGGGTAATTTATGTCTGTTAACTGCTACCTCCTGTTAAATGAGTGCTTATTTTAGACTAGCTCTGTAACTTCTAGTAACTCTAATGTAGTTTCTATACTCAGTCAAAGTATGTTCACTGAACATGTACTATGCTACCATTGCAAAGGGCTTTGGAGACTCAGCAGTAGATGTCAATGACTTGTGTTCCTGTGAGAGTCTTGAGTCAAAAATCAACATTTATAATTTGAAACCAGTATTTGTAGTTTTTTTCATGGGTTATTTCTATAGAGGATGGGAGATTTTAAGTTTTTCTTAATAATCTATTCCTCATATGTCTGAGTTATCTATCATCAGTGATTACAAAACAAGGAAGTGGTATCTGTTGACAGTTCTATTACAAGTGAAACTTTACAGGTGATGCTTAGCTTCTGGCTTGTGTTTCCAAACTAAGTCAAAGTTATTATCTATTAATTCTTAATACAAATTTGTTCTCCCTGACATTTTTTCATAGGGATTAGTAGTGTTATTTATTTTTTGTAAGTGAAGACACGGCCTAGCAATTTCTTTAATGTGCCTGAAGAAGTTCATTTAGTTGCTAGGTAGGGTTGGGGTTTGATCCAATGATATAATTTCCTTATCCTTTCTCTGCTAGTTAATGAAGATAGCAGTCATGCATAATGACAGTGAACATGTGTTAGCTGAGGATCATTTGTGGACATTGAAGTTGTTTTTAACTATGTTTTCTGCATTCATGCTCATAAACTAACCTCTGACATGATATGTAAGAGGAGCACCACAGGAAAAAAAACCTTAAAAATGATTAAAACACACCATAGAATGTGCTTTTCCTTCACTTTCTAGAAATTCCAGTTTTAACTGTCTTATCTGTGTTAACTATACACTTGTCATGAACAGGTGATTCCCAAGAACATATGAAAATATAGAATGTGTTGATATACAAGCAATCAGCAAAATGCAGTTGCAAGTAAGAAAGTAGTAAATAGCAAAATGGCCAAAGTTAGAATTCTTTAATTGCCCTAGCGAAGTGTGTCTTACAGTTTGCCAGTGGATGTTTACGTTGGGACAGGTCCTTCGTGGCCTAAGATATGTGGAAGATGTGCTAGAGAAAAGCAGAGAGAACAGATACAATATGCTACAAGGGATGCACTCGTTATATCTTATTTGCTTCATAGAGTTAATGGCCATTCAAAGTCATGATAAGTTAATGGGCTTAAAACAGAGTCAACTGAAAATGCAAAATCAAAGTGTTTACGAATCGCCATGTGATCAAAGTTGGAGACAGCAGATGGTGCTTGAGGGGAAACTTGACTGCATAACAGAGGTTGAGATCATGGGACTTCATGTTATTTTTCTATTTTCCAAAAGTTCAGTGATGTTATTTATGTTGCCTTTATTCAAATTATCAATAAAAATATATCTAATTGAGTTGTCCTCCACAGCTGTGTTGAAGCTTGATGGTGAGTTTGGGAGTGAGTGGGAGGGAAGGAGTGGGAGGACTTAGAGCCAGCAAACAGACCGTGCCACAGCAAGCCCTCCATGAAGCCACCCAGCAGAAGGGGCGGTCGCTGAGGGGAAAGCATTGTGTTAAAGTCTTTTAGAAATACTGTTTAGCAGAAATCCTAACCATAGTTCACCTTTGCTCATCTGAAATAGAGAATGTTTGTCTTGCTTTCCTGTTGTGGTGCCAGCAAATTGAGGGAGTGCATATTTAAACACACAGTGCACTGATATCTTAGTCACTATTGGCCACTAGTGTTTTACTTCAAAGTTTTATTAGTTGTACCATTTTTTGAGGTGCCGTGGATTGAACTCAGGGCTTTGTAAATGCTGGCCTATTTGAATCTTGGTTTCCTTAGATTAACAACACTAACCATGGTTTCGGTCCTGCCTACTTTACAGGATTATTGTTAGAATGAAATGAAATAATGCATGTAAATGAGTTTTGTTGCCTTAAGTATTATAGAAATGAAAGCGGCTATTTTTGACTTCACACCTGTTTCCCAAGATATTGTGGATTTCCCAGTGCTGCTGAGGACGAACTTCACAAAATGGTGCCTGCTTCAAACCTCTGGGTGTGCCCTCTTCTTTTTCTGTGCCAGAGAAAGACAATTTCTGAAAAGTTTTTTTCTTCTGTTTCCCGCTGGAGCAGGTGAAGGCTTGTTTATCAATGAAGTGATTTATTGAAGTAAATGTATTACCAGCCATGCAAAGCATTTTCAGTCAAGATAATCTGTCCCCATATGAAGAACCCATCAGAGGACGAGGTTGATTGTATAGGCTGGTGAAGGAACCTTGTAGAACTGTTGTCAACTTCTAGAAGTAAAAGCAGCACCTGCCCGTGCCCTTGAAAAACTGTGAGCCATAGAGAAGGCATGCCTATCTCTGGGATCCAAGACATGACAAGACACCACTGAATCAGAAGTCTAACATAGTCAATAGGAAAAGAAAATCAGTTTTAAATAAATACCCTTCAAATGAATCTCTTCCTGCCAATTTCTCTCCTTGCAAAAACCTGATCTAGAACAGAAACCTCTCAAAAGTCTATGACTCTATGTGTGGCGGGATGGGACTAGAGTGTGGGAAGGGTTGGAAGTGGCCTCTCAAGGCTTTGTCTTTGTGCTGTTTGTTATCAAGTTCAAGTGTCATGCCATGAGTTACGCCTACAGGAAAAATACATGAGAAGGCCAGTGCTTAGCAGGTCTTAGAGAAAATAGCAACTGGGAAACAACGATTTGGATTCATTGCTTTTGCAGGGTGACTTGGAATCTTTTAGTTATTGTTTAAACTGAGAGGAAATGGAGGCAAGACCCTTGTCATTTCCTGTAAAAGTGAGAACTACATCCATGGATGTTTTTATTAGCAAAAGAGGACAGCGTGACATCACATCTCTCAGCACCTGCTGAAGTGGACCTCCCCCTTTCAAGAGCCACCATCATCAAGTAGGACACCTATTTCACTTAGGAAGCTCTTCGACACTCCAGTTTGCCAACACAACTAAATAAGAACAAAACTGTTTGATGATCAGTGTGGGGTGAGAGGAAGGGAGAGGAAGCTTGGAGAAAGAGAGGGGGAGAAGAGGAGAGGAGAGGAGGACATGAGGAGCAGGAAGGTTGAGCCAAGGAGCAACTATAGGTTTGCGAAGAGATCTGGCACTAGGGAAATTTTCAGAGATCTACAAGGATTACACCAACTGGCAAACTAACCAATAGTGGAGAGACTACCTTAAATGCCCTACCCCAATAATGAGACTGATGACTACCTTATTATGCCATCCTAGAGCCTTCATCCAGTGACTGATGGAAGCAGAGGCAGACACCCACAGCTGAACACTGAATTGAACTCCTGGAACTCAGTTGCAGAGAGGGAGGAGTGATGAGCAAAGGAGTCAAGACCTGTCTGGTGAAACCCTCAGAGGCAGTTGACCTGAACAAGGGGGAGCCATTGGACCACAGACTGGTGACTGAGAGGCCAGCATGGGACTGATCCAGACTCCTGAATGTGGGTGTCAGTGAGGAGGCTTCGGCAATCTATGGGGCCTTGGATAGTAGACCAGTATTTATCCTTGGCATACAAAGGGACTTTGGGAGCCCATTCCACATGGAGGGATGCTCTCTCAGCCTGGAGACATGGGGGAGAGCCTAGGCCCTGCCCGGGATAATATGACAGATTTTGAAGATTTCCCATGGAGGGCCTCACCCTCCCTGCGGAGGGAGAATGGGGTTGGGGTTTCGGGGAGCTGGGAGGCAGGAGAGGAGGGAAGGGTGAGAGACCTGGGATTGACATGTCAAGCAAGCTTGTTTCTAATTTAAATAAAATAAAAAAAAGAAAAAGAAAGGCAAAAGTAGACTAGGCAGAAGTATGAACTAAAAATCTGAATGAGACGTGTGATAATCAGCATATCAAAAAGAGCAAGGAGTTTTCATTTAAAAGTAAAATCACAAAGTTTCAAAATCATGCTTGAAGTGAATGGCAGAAACTTGCAACCTGAAGAGCTCTGGATGAACTATTGGGTCACAGCAGGTACTCTTCTGTCCTCCCATGTTTTAACTTATAAAGTACACATTTTTTAAAAAATAGAGAAATAAAAAAAATCAGACATAGCCACAGAGAACAATGACAACAAAAAACAATTAAAACTGAGAGTTTGGGCATGAGAGGAGCAGAAGGAAAAAGAACTAAACTCCAAGTTTTCTTTTTCATGTAAAAATTTATTTTGAGAATTTCATACATGAGGATTTACCTCATTTCCACCTCTCCCCATTCTAACTCTTCCCAAGTCCTCCCAACTCCCCTTGAATTCATGACCTCTTACAATTACTGTGACATATATGTATACACACACAGCTCACCTGCTCCATTTAGTATTGCTCATATGTACATGTGTTTAGAGCTGACCCATTTTGATTGGATAACCTATCGGGGGCTCCTCTTTAAGGAAAACTGATTCTCCATCTCTCATCAGTCACTGACTGGCTGTAGTTTTCATGTAGGAGAGAGGCCTTGTGAAAATGGCTCCCTCTGTGTTGACATGTCAATTGCTATGGTCATTATGCAGGTCTTGTTCAGGTAACCATGTTGTTGAGATTTCATGAGTGTGGCATTGCTTATTCCACATCTCTGTTTTTTGCAGGTTTTCTTGCCTCCACTTTCCTGAGTGTAGTGGTTGTGTTGTAGATGTACCAATTGGCCCCCTAAAGTCACTTGTTCTCGGCGTCTACTTCAAAAGGAAACGTCTCCGATGAGGGGTGAGTGCTCTACTTAACTGTGGGTATAAGGATAAGTATTTAGAATATAGTTAGAAACTATATTGATTTAGGAAAATTGTAGTAGTCAGTTCTTCTTTACGGTCTATAATTGTTCCAGCCACAGTGTTTACAGCCAAGCATGAATTACTTCTCACTGAGAGGGCTTTACATTCAATTAGACAACTGTTGGTTGCCCCCAGGATATGCGTGCCAATACTGCACCACTGGGGCTTGCTGAGCCAGTCATTGCTGTGGCTTGCAGGCTTTTTTGTTAGCAGGGAGGATTGGTGGCTTTTCCCTCTTGGCACTCTGCATCGCACCTTTCAATACTATGAGAGGAGGCTTCCAGATACGTTCCAGTTAATTCCTCTAAGTACTATGTCTGAAGTACATGGGGTCCTCAGTGTTTTACCTTCAACTTCTGGGAGGGTGGGCAAAGGTATTAGCTTTTATTGTTTGGGGAGTCTCTCAGGAATCCCACGATAAACAACAGGAAGGGAGATTTCATTTGCTTGCCACCATGGTTATTTTTTGGATAATCTATGGGTCTTTCCTGGGGTAGACCTGGTACAGCATTATAGCTCCATGTGATGTAATCCACTGAAAAAATATACATGTGTATCTGCATAAAACATATATGTATTTTAAATAATCTTATAAATGTTGTTTCCGTACATGTTTTTCAAACAACCTTAGTGCTATTTAAGTCTCGTTCCTCCGTCTCCTTCTCCCATTCCCAGTTAAGTTCCCCAGCCCTGTTTTCCCCTTTCTTCTTCATAGCACCAATGTCCCATTCCCTCCCCCATCTCATTCCACCTCCCTGGCTTCTTTACTCCAGGCTAAATACTCAAATCTTAAGCTTCAAAGTGGGGATCATAAGCAAGAGAACGCACAGCACTTACCCGTCTTGGTCTGAGTTCCCTTACTCAGTCTAAGATTAGCCGTCCATTTCCTCTCATTTTTCTTTCCAGCAGAATTAGGATTCCATTGTGTGGATTACCACAGTTTCATTATCCATCCTTCAGCTGAGGGCCATCTAGGCTGCTTCTATTTCCTGGCACCAGAAATACAGCACCTGTGGCCATCGCTGAGCAGGTGTTGGTGGAACAGGAATTCTGTATTTTAAGGAGCGATCATACTCAACTAGGTCTCTTTTTGTGACAAAATCAGGATTTATTGGAACAAAATTCTTTAAAGCAAAATGTGCAAGTTCTTCCTTCAGAGAGAGCTGTGTGAGCTCAAGCGCCAGCCCCAACTCTCTCCTGTGTGCAGAGGTCACAGAGTCAGCCTTCATTTTCTTACTTCTAAATTCAAGGTCTCTGAAGATGAAGTTTTTACATTTTCTGTGAAATTTTCAGAAATCAGTGTGTTTGTTAGATGTTATTCGGTTGATTCATGCATGCTGTAGACATTATATTCAAATATTTGAGGGCTCCAGCATGGTGGTATCCATAAGCTTTTTGTCAATTGACTATGAAAAAGATCTTTACATAATCATCCTATGATACTTACTATTTGCTGATTGATAAAAGGTTGTAGATCAGGGCTTTGTCTTAGTAGAACACATAATATTAATGATAGATTAATGTTAGAAATAAAAATTTTATTTATGTTCATTGTGTGTGATAAAATGGCTGTTTTATAATTTATGATACGAGGCCGAGGAGACCTGGGGAGGTTAAATGGTGAGAGGTAGGCCATGGCTGTCGACCACTTCAAGTTTATTGAGTCAGTTTCTGCTGTTAAGTATCTTAAGAGTACAAGACAGCTCCCTGTAGCCCGTTGGAAGCATTCGCACCATGTGCAGAGTAGAACGCTTGCTCTCTGAGAACTCAACTTTGGGTTCACATAATTTCCCAGGAAAACTCCCTTAGAAATTTTCTGCATCAAGTAATCTAAAGTGAGTTTTTCCTCTTTAAAGAAAACCCTGTAGAAAGAAGGAAGAGTTCATGACAAAGGCAGCCGACTGAGATCTGTGACTCAGTGCGTTCCATAAATTATAGATCTGAGGTAGTTTTGAGTGAGCACTGGCATTTCTAATAGCGTGCCATGGCACCTAAGGGCATAAAATAGCTACAGAGGCAATTAGCTTCAGAAAACAGGATTATTAAGTGCATGAACCCTTAAGTTATGTGTAAGCTCAGAAGTGTGCTTTTAAAGGGGAATTGCCAAAGGGCCCATGGTACATTGGGAAACCCTTCCCCCGGTTGCTGGTGAAAGTGCATGGTCTATGAGGGAGAGCAGACCTTGCCTGCCTCTTTCCTTCCCTGACATAGGCTTGAGAGGAAGGTGGAGACAGTGTGGAACTGTTGGCTGTAAGTCCTTCTAAGATGGAAGAGCCCACCTAACAGACCTGAATTATCCTTTTCTTTTGGTATTTTTCCTTAAATTTCTAAAACTCTGAGAAACTCTCACTTGAGTGGGTGCTTTTTTTTTCCTTTTTGGCTTTCTGAGACAGGGTATAGCTCTGGCTGTCCCAGAACTTGTTTTGTAGATCAGGCTGGCCTCAGATTCACAGAGATCTGCCTTCCTCTGCCTCCTGTGCTGGAACTAAAAGCATGTGCCACCATGCCTGACACATGGATGCTTTTTAAAATGAACACATTGGCGTGCGTGCATGCATTAGGCAAGTTTTCTACCCTGGAGCTACCTCCCTAGACCCAAATAAATGGCATTGACAGTGAAGACAATTCTGTGAGAGGCTGAACACTGGCTTGGCTGAGACCTTGGTTCCTACACAAACAGGGTTGTTACAGTACAGACACACAAGTTCCCACAGGCAGACAATCATACACATTCTCTCCTCACTCTGTTCTTCTCCCTTAAAGTATCCTCTTGACCACAGTAAATATGGGTATTAGAATACCCTGTTAGCCCTTAGTCAGTTCTGTGGGTGTGTTTTCAGAGAAGTATGTCAGTTTCACTCTCTCTCCAGAAGTGTCCAGTTTCCTGTGAATTTCTTTTGCTCATCCTATTGTCACGAATGTGTGAGTAGTTCTATACTCAGTTCCCTGAGATGCAGTGATGACGTGACAATTAGGATTGGTAGATTGTGTTTCTGCCTGAACTTTCTCCTTTAGGTGCTTTTTCTGCAGATGAGAAAATACGGTAATGGTGGCTTCATTCTTGAATTGGCAGTCACTGTAATTTATGGAACAGAGCTGTGTGCTTCATTAGAAAAAGGAACCGAGAACCTTCTAGGAAAAATACATTAGGGTTCCATTGAACTCCTACATGATTTCAGTTTGCGTTTTTGTTGTTGTTGTTTCCTTACGTTTCCCATAACAGTTTCCTTTGGAAATGCTAGCTTCTGTGGGACTTCAGTTTGTCTCACAGCAAGCATCCAAACTCGCTCACAAGTTGTGCTTTTTATTTGTCACTTGCTATATGGACTCTGCACAGAAAAGGGGCACACTTGGATTGTTTTATGGATAATTAGCAAATTATGAGTGACTTTCTTTTCAGTTCAAAGTAAATTTTATGTACATAGAATTTTCAAAGAATAAAAAAGTCAAGTACTTTATACTTAGCTGTGTACCTAGATATCTATGTTAATGACTATCATGGCAAGATAAGCCCACTGTTGTAATAGTGGAATGCTATGGAAGAGGCTCATTCCACAAGATAGAACTAATGCTTGGTACCATCAACTGGACCAAGACACATGTATTCTTAAGTCACAGGGACAACCTAGGACTACCAATTTGTTAAATAAACATAATAACAGACAACCCAGAGTTCTAATCATTGGACCCCTAGTCTATGGCATCTTTCAACCCTCATTAGAGGGCTTCCTTTTGCAGAAGGATATGATTAATACCGGACCATGCCTGGTCAACAGGAAGATAAGAAAAGACTGAACAGTTCAGTTGTAAATGGGGTATCTACATGACACTCCTCCCCCTCAAGGCTCGGGGATCACCATGCAGGAGGGGACAGAAAGATTGTAAGAGGCAGAGGGCATCTGCAGTGAGACAGTACTTTCTGGGCATGACAGCGATGTCATAGCAGCTGTGACTACATACTTAATGTTGATGACTGCTGGTGGAGCAAGCGCCAGTTTCTTCAGGGATGTGATCCCAGAGAAGATACACATCTCCAGTAGATATCCCAAGCCACATCTATACAGACAGCAGTGAGTGGACTCGGCCATCTTAACAACAAAACGCATGATGTTGGGAGGGAGAAACAGTGGGAAAATAGGGGAGGAACTGGAGAGATGGGATTGGGGTGGATTTGATCAGAAACACATTATATGCACCCATGGAGTTATCAAACAGTAAAAAGGAGCAAAATAAAAAGCAATGGCTAAACATTATGCCAGCTTCTAATCTTTACATAACCAAATGATGTGCTCTTTCCACAAGCTTCACTTCCACAAAATACCCTGTATGTAACAACTTTGGCCAAGCTTTGCACTCAGTGAAAGCTTTGCTTCTGTAGTCTGAGCCCTCTCTCTTTCTCTTCCCTCCTCTTTGACTTTTTGTTTTGACTTTGACTAATGGCAGGGATTGGTATGTGGTCACATTTCTCCTTGGGCAGTGATGCTTTGTTGAATGTTGTGCTTGCTAAAAGGTCACTGGTGTCTCAGTCTCCTCATCTGTGAACTGAGAGGGTTAGTAACTAACTCACTGGATGTCTGTGATGATCACGGGCAGCTGATGTCTCTGTAGTGCCTAGTACAGTCCATGGGAGATGGGATTTATGGGTTCATGCGTGAGGACCAACCATGCCCACTACTCCCCATTCTTGCCAAAGAATCATTCTGAATAAAATTAAAATGAAGTTTCAGTTTGTCAGAATTTGTAGCAGCTTCAGCCTGGTAACTTGGGGTAAATATCTTGACACCAAAGATTTCGGCTGTCTATTTTATTGTTGGTAAAGTGTAACCATGACCCTGCGGAAAGTGTACAGCTCTCAAGTGCACAGCACGATGAGGTTTTCTATGTACACTCTTCTCCTTTGCATTGCTTCTCAGTCCGTAGCTACTGTGGAGTTCG